TTTACAGAGGAAGAACTTTATTTCAACTGTCAAAGTTAAAGGCAAATAAGTTGATGGGGCCTGATGGAATACACCCACAGTTATAAAAAGAGCTTAGTGGTGTACTAGCAAAACCATTAACTTATTTATTTAACTAATCATTGTTAACGGGATCATTGGAAATTAGCGAATGTTGTGCCTATTCACAACAAAGGTCTTGATAGTAAGGTATGCCTTTTTGCTGATGATACAAAGATATGTAACAGGGTTGATGTTCCAAGAAGGATAAGTCAAATGGCAAATGATTTAGGTAAACTAGAAAAATGGTCAGAGCTGTGGCAACCGATATTTAATGTGGATAAGTGCAAGATAATACACCTGGGACGTAAAAACCCAAGACCCAAGGGCAGAGTATAGGATATTTCATAGAGTCCTAATCTCAACATCTGAGGAAAGGAATTTAGGGGTAGGTATTTCAGATGACTTAAAGGTAGGAAGACAATGTAATAGAGCAGCAGGAAATGCTAACAGAATGCTTGGTTGTATAGGGAGAGATATTAGCAGTAGAAAGAGGGAAGTGCTCATGCCATTGTACAGAACACTGGTGAGACCTCACTTGGAGTATTGTACACAGTACTGGAGACCGGATCTCCAGAAGGATATTGATACTTTAGAGAGAGTTCAAAGAAGGGCTACTAAACTGGTTCATGGATTACATGATAAAACCTACAAGTAACAGTTAAAGGATCTTGTATAGCTTGGAGGAAAGAGGATACGGGGGGATATGATAGAAACATTTAAATAGATAAAATGAATCAACATAGTAAAGGAGGAGACTATATTTAAAAGAACAAAAACTAGCACAATAAGAGAACATAGTCTTAAATTAGATGGGCAAAGGTTTTAAAATTAATATCAGGAAGTATTACCTTACTGAGAGGGTAGTGAATGCATGCAATAGCCTTCCAGCTGAAGTGGTAGAGGTTAACACAGTGAAGGAGTTTAAGCATGCGTGGGATAGGCATACAGCTATCTTAGCTATAGGATAATTCCAGGGACTAAGGGGATTGTTTAGAAAATTGGGCAGACTAGATGGGTTGAATGCTTATTATCTGCCGTCACATTCTATGTTTCTATGTCAATGAGAACAAAGCTTTAGTACACATTTACTCTGTAGCATCAGTTACTGTTAGAGTGGAAAGAAAAATATTTATTTTATGAGGTTGGTGAACCTGGTATTACCATGACTCAAAGTTTCTTTCATGTCTTTCATGGGATAAGAACTGATACTAGATGTAATTTTATTGTCCAATCCTCATGCCCTAGTGGAAAATCAACACTAATAGAGTGGATGGAATATAGAATATGTATTGCCTTCTACTGTTCCAAAATTATTTCCATCATGTCTAAAGTGGTGTTCCAACATGCACTGACATCCTGTCATAAATGGTGTGTGGGAATCCCTGTTTTCTCTTGCTTCTGCCTGCGAAATTGGGGTCCCACACTATGGTGGAAATGCCAGGCAATTCTCCAGCAATGCTTAGGTATGGTTTACAGTAAGGTAGGAAAACCACCATCACTATGCTCTGTATGTTGCCTCCAGTGTGGGACCAACGAAAGAAAGTTATGCTGGCCACTAGGAGAACCCCATAAATGTGAGCAATGGGTTGATTTTAAACCTACAATATTATTATTATTATTATTATTATTGGTATTTATATAGTCCAACTAATTCCGCAGCACTTTACAATATTATGAAAGGCGGAGACATTTACAATAAATGAGACAATTACACAGTGACACAGAAACAATAGGTAGATGAGGGCCCAGCTCAAACAAGCTTACAGTCTAGAGGAGGTGGAGTGCAAATACACAACAGGGAATCAAGGGTAACGGCCACCAACAAGGTCAAAAAGTAGCACAACTGGAGGTGTGAGTGGAGTGTGGCTCTTTAGGAGAGCAAGAGACATATTTGGATAAGTATAGATAAGTTACTCTGGGAGTCCATAAGTATTTCTGAACAGATGTGTTTTGAGGGACTTTTTAAATAATTGAATACTAGAAGAGAGTCTGATAGGGGTAGGCAGGCTGCTCCAAAGGAAGGGAGCCAACCCCAAAAGAAGTCCGACAAGCACTAGTTATCAGTAAGGATGCAAGCAGCGGACAGGAGAAAGTTAGTGGAAGAGCTTAAACACTGGCTGCACAAAGTCTTGGAATGACCCTATCTTTTAGAGATATGCTCAGCTTTACTATCTCATCTGTCCATCTGTAGATATATTTCTTTACAAATGTTTCTGGCACACAGCTCTTGCTTACCTCTACATTGCTCCACAAGCCTCTAGCAATTTGCTTACTTCTTCTGGATAAATTCTATGGACATCTTCGACTTTGACAGTGTCAGACTTTGACATTGCAGTGATTATTTCACAACCTTTACCAAACTTACTTTCTTCTTCCACCATGTCATTTGCTGTTTTTCACCAAAATAGCACTCATTTTCTAGGATTCATACATATATATTCTCAGACTAATTAAATCTAATGGCATTCTTTTGTCTTTTGACACCATGCACAATCTCGAGACCCATCCAGCACTGTCCCTTTTGCCATCTGATTCTACATCCCTGCTCTTCCCTATCAGGGTTTATTACATGTTAATTTGTCTGCAGTTTACAGTTCCAGGTATTTATCTCCACCATTTTCAATTCTCCAACTCATCATGTCCATTATTACAAACACCCCTTATCCCTCAAACTTCTGCACATTCCTATTCTAAATCTCTACCTATCCTCTGCTCTTGCTACTCATTTGAAATCTACTCCTCTACTCTTGCAGAAAATCCATACAAAATAATCTACTAGTCAATTACTTTCCCTCAAACTGCATACATGTAAAATAAAATTATATGGTGTGAAAGCATTTTTACTTGAAATAGGTGAGTAACCTTAGAAAAAAATGCAAAAAACAAATATGAATGCTAACTTTGGCCAGTGTTTGTGACTATGTGGCTACTAAAAAAGACAGGAAATATAGTGAGGAAAAAAAAAGTTGATCCCCATCTGATTTTGAATGTTTGCCCACTGACAAAAAGAAATGATCAGTCTATAATTTTAATGGTAGGTGTATTTAAACAGTGAGAGACACAATAACAGCAAAGAAAATCCAGAAAAATCAAGAAAAAGGCATGTCAAAAAAGTTATAAATTGATTTGCATGTCAATGAGTGAAATAAGTATTTGACCCCTTCAACTTAGTACTTAGTGGCAGAGGTCAGACGTTTCTTGTAGCTGGCCACCAGGTTTGGAAACATCTCCTCTTTCCAGATCCTCTCCAAGTCATTAAAGTTTCAAGGCTGATGTTTGGCAACTCGAACCTTCAGCTCCCTACACAGATTTTCTATGGGATTAAGGTCTGGAGACTGCCTAGGCCACTCCAAGACCTTAATGTGCTTCTTCTTAAGCCACTCCTCTTGCCTTACCTTAGCTGTGTGTTTTGTGTCATTGTCATGCTGGAATACCCATCCACAACCCATTTTCAATGCCCTGGCTGAGGGAAGGAGGTTCTCACTCAAGATTTGATGGTACATGGCTCAGCCATTGCCCTTTGATGCGGTGCAGTTGTCCTGTCCCCTCAGCAGAAAAACAGAAAAGACTGTTTCCAAGTCCATGTTTGATGGTGGGGATGGTGTTCTTGGGGTCATAGGCAGCATTCCTCCTCCTCCAAACACGGCGAGTTGAGTTTATGCCAAAGAGCTTGATTTTGGTCTCATCTGACCACAACACTTTCACCCAGTTCTCCTCTGAATCATTCAGATGTTCATTGGCAAACTTTAGATGGGCCTGTACATGTGCTTTCTTGAGCAGGGGGATCATGCGGGCTCTTCAGGATTTCAGTCCTTTGCGGCGTATTGTGTTACCAATTGGTTTCTTGGTGACTATGGTCCCAGCTGCCTTGAGATAATTAACAAGATTCTCCCGTCTAGTCCTGGGCTGATTCCTCACTGTTCTCATGATTATTGAAACTCCACAACGTGCAATCTTGCATGGAGCACCAGACCGAGGGAGACTGACAGTTATTTTCTGTTTCTTCCATTTGCGAATAATCGCACCAACTGTTTTTACCTTCTTACCAAGCTGCTTGGCAATGGTCTTGTAACCCATTCCAGCCTTGTGTAGGGCTACAATCTTGTCCCTGACATACTTGGACAGTTCTTTGGTCTTGGCCATGGTGGAGAGTTTGGAATCTGATTGATTGCTTCTGTTGACAGGTGCTTTTTATACAGGTAATGAGCTGAGATTAGGAGCACTCCCTTTAATCTCAGCTTGTTACCTGTATGAAAGACAACTGGGAGCCATAAATCTTGCTGATTGATAGAGGATCAAATACTTATTTCACTCTTTGACATGCAAATCAATTTATAACTTTTTAATTTTTTTATTCTTTATTTTGGTTGTGCGAGGTTTTACAAACAAGCTTGTGATGCCACAACGGCTAAAGAAAGTATTAAAATAACATACAAGGTGTAACATTAGTTTAACATAGATAATAGTCATGCACTTTTTTTGAGAATATGAGAGTAATAAGAAAAATAAACAATCTTGGTAGCCCTGCCTAATGGATATGTAAGTTAGGCAGGTTTTATTTGGTGAATCACGTGGCTTAAGGCATATATAACTGACTATATCTAACTAAATAGACAGGACTGCAGACCTAGGTGGGAAGTAACATGCTAAATACAAATACGTATCATAGTATAACCACCAAAGAGCAGTGGAGAACTGGGCTAGCCAGGTTTATGTCCACATGCAGAGTGTGAGTAAGATTAAAACAAGGGTTAAGCTGCACTCACCTAAACATACTTAAATGGGGTGCTGCTGGGGGCCAATAAGTACAGTAAAAATGAACATCCAGCGCACTCACTTATCTACTAAACAGTTATTTTAGTGCTGAACAATTTTGTTAGTTTTATTAAAAACACATAATCTAGGCAAAAATAATGGGGGTTTAGTTACATTATATGATCATACATTGCATAAGCCTGCCACAACGCCAATGTACCCCATCTTTGTCAAAGATTTGTCAAAGATGGGGTACATTGGCATTGTGGCAGGCTTATGCAATGTATGATCATATAATGTAACTAAATCGACATTATTTTTTGCCTAGATTAGGTGTTTTTAATAAAACTAACAAAATTGTTCAGCACTAAAATAACGGTTTAGTAGATAAGTGAGTGCGCTGGATGTTCATTTTTACTGTACTTATTGGCCCACAGCAGCACCCCATTTAAGTATGTATAAGATTTTCATTTTTACTGTGAGTAAGATTAAGTGATGTCAGCGATAAGAGTGAAGCAAAAGTATATTAGGTAGACAAGTATGCACTCAGAGTAACTCTGTAGAATAAACATACCGTATATACTCGAGTATAAGCCGACCCGAATATAAGCCGAGGCCCCTAATTTTACCCCAAAAAACTGGGAAAACTTATTGACTCGAGTATAAGACTAGGGTGGGAAATGCAGCAGCTACTAGTAAATTTCTAAATAAAATTAGATCCTAAAAAAATTATATTAATTGAATATTTATTTACAGTGTGTGTATATGATGAATGCAGTGTGTGTGTGTATGAGTGCGCAGTGTGTGTGTATGAATGCAGTGTGTGTGTATGAGTGCAGTGTGTGTGTATGAATGCAGTGTGTGTGATGCAGTGTGTGTGTATGAGTGCAGTGTGTGTGTGTATGAGTGCGCAGTGTGTGTATGAGTGCGCAGTGTGTGTATGAGTGCAGTGTGTGTATGAGTGCGCAGTTTGTGTGTATGAGTGCAGTGTGTGTGTATGAGTGCAGTGTGTGTTTATGAATGCAGTGTGTGTGTATGGATGCAGTGTGTGTGTATGAGTGCAGTGTGTGTGTATGAGTGCAGTGTGTGTGTATGAGTGCGCAGTGTGTGTATGAGTGCGCAGTGTGTGTGTGTGAGTGCAGTGTGTGTGTGTGAGTGTTTTGCCAGTGTGTGTGGTGCGTGTGTGTGTGTATGAATGCAGTGTGTGTATATGAATGCAGTGTGTGTGTATGAGTGCAGTGTGTGTGTATAAATGCAGTGTGTGTATAAATGCAGTGTGTGTGTATGAGTGCAGTGTGTGTATGAGTGCAGTGTGTGTGTGTGTGTGTGTGTATATAATGCGGTGTGTGTATGAGTGCGGTGTGTGTGTATGAGTGCGGTGTGTGTGTATGAGTGCGCAGTGTGTGTATGAGTGCAGTGTGTGTGTATGAATGCAGTGTGTGTGTATGAATGCGCAGTGTGTGTATGAGTGCAGTGTATGTGTATGAGTGCAGTGTGTGTGTGTGTGATGCAGTGTGTGTTTGTGTTGCAGAGCTTTGGTGGGGGGTGGGCATTTTTATAAAAAAAAAAATTTTTTGGGTTATATTATTTTTTTATTATTATTTATATTTATATATTATTAATTGATATTATTTAAATTTTGTTATATTATTTTCTTTTTATTATTTATTTATTATTATTTATATATGATTATTTTATCTATTTTTTTTGTCCCCCCTCCTTGCTTGATACATGGCAGGGAGGGGGGCTCTCCTTCCCTGGGGGTCCATTGGCAGTTCAGTGGGGGGAGGAGGGGGGCTGACAGTGAGCTGTTACTTACCTCTCCTGCAGCTCCTGTCAGCTCCCTCCTCCTCCACGCTGGTCCGTGCAGCTCTTCTCTCAGCTCACACTGTAAGTCACGCGAGAGCCGCATTATGACCCCGCGGATCTCGCGAGACTTACACTGGGAGCTGACCGAGGTGCTGCACGGACCGGCGCGGAGGAGGAGGGAGCTGACAGGAGCTGCAGAAGAGGTAAGTTACAGCTCTGCCAGCCCCCAGTCTGTATTATGGCAATGTAAATTGCCATAATACAGACATTGACTCGAGTATAAGCCGAGTTGGGGTTTTTCAGCACAAAAAATGTGCTGAAAAACTCGGCTTATACTCGAGTATATACGGTAAATACCTGTTTAGAATAACTAATAGCCAAGCAACAATTCATGCAGGACTGTGCTGCAGTAATCTTGAGGCATAGCAACAGTGCTTAGTGCACCTTGCACAAAAGTCATCATATGCTAGCATAATACACCAGCCTAGACAGCTGCATTGATATTGTAGAGATATAAATGATAGCATAAAGGTGGTGTGTTGTCCTCTGAAATATGCCAACATGTGTTAAATTAAATAAACAAGAAAGTAGGCTATTGAAATCAAATTAAAATACTCAGTGCTGAGGGTCATCAGCATGGAATTGAGCAGATACTCATATAAATCAATATAAAGCATTTTACACAATCAGCTGGTTAGTTGGTATTACACAGCCAGGAGCCTCTCCAGGAGGTCAGCCTATGCCCATTAGAGGGAAGTTACAGTTTCATGTTGCCTGTGTCTTCATGCTCTGAGCCGAGGGTGTTCGCTGGTGATCCTGCACGAGTAGTTGCCTTGTCTTCATCTCTTTATCCCTACTTTCTAAATCTTCATGCTGGATCTGGAGATTTGAGGCTGCAATGCTTGTCAGCATTCCACTGGTAAACCACTGCACCGATGTGGCTTATCCCACCTCCGGCGCATGTTGCCTCTGGTAAATGCAGGAGGGCGGTTCGGGATGCGGTGATACTGCTCAGGAGAAACTTACACCACCTCAGGCAGGTTTAGCCTATGTTTCAGTTTCTTCCAAAAACTTTTAGATACCGCTTCCAAGCCCAGGAGAATTGTGGGAGTTGCACCTCCTGGAGTGAGGGCACTCGTGGCATCCGCCATCTTAGAAGCACCTCTGATGGTACCACTAATATGGACGGTACCGATGAGACTTGAGAGCTGTAAGGGTGGGGACCAGGATCAATTTGCCTGAATAACAGAGTAAATTTGCTGTCCCCTCAAAATAACTCACACAGCCATTAAAGGACCACTCTAGGCACCCAGACCACTTCAGCTTAATGAAGTGGTCTGGGTGCCAGGTCCAGCTAGGGTTAACCCATTTTTTCATAAACATAGCAGTTTCAGAGAACACATAACTAATGTAAAGACACAAAATTATGACAAATGCTTTTTGCCAACCATTGCATACCTTACTTACGCTTGTTTATATTAGCCTTCCTTTAGTTAAGCATAGAGCACTAGCTGTTTAATCGTATCACTGAAGAATCACACGGTTAATGATATCACATAAGCATGAATACACTTTAAGATTAATGATATTATAATCCGTTAAACTCATTGTAAAACACAAAAGATTGAATGTCACTCAGAATTAATGCCTAGTTTGCCACAACTCCAGTTATGAAAGGAAAAGACCCAATTGATCAAAGAAATAGGAAGCCCCCTAATTATACTCTATATACATAAAACAACTTTTAATAATGATAATAGTAAAATACTCATTGGAAAGGAACACAATAAACAAAATGTTTAAAAAGACTAGATAGGTAAAAGGAGGAAATAATAGTATCTCCTAAATGGGTTATATACCCTAATAAGGAAGTCACTAGAATGAATCTAATCTGAAAGAAAAAAGGGATCCCAATACAGTACTCATACCCTAGTTATAAATATTCAAAATTGCAAAAGTAGCATCTATAGAGGTAAATAGATACTACCCCTCACAAACATCCACTATAAGTCACTTTAGAAAGACCTATAAGGCTAAAATAGCCAAATGATGCTGCACTAGTCACCTGGGGGGAAATTTTTATTTATGGCCCCCACCCACCATGCAGGGGTGGGGGCCAGGGGGGAGGACATTAGGTCCCCCCCAATTTTTATTTATGGCCCCCACCCACCGCTCAGGGGTGGGGGCCGGGGGGAGGACATTAGGCCCCCCCCAATTTTTATTTATGGCCCCCACCCACCTCTCAATCCTACCTGTAAAAGAGGTGGTTTGTTACAATACATATTGTTTTTTATACTGTTTAGCACACCCTTCACCTTCCTATGATAGCGAAGGCTAAATGAGGGCCCAACATAACTAGATGTAGAGTGGCCAAATGAGGGCCTAATAAGAAGTTACTGGTGCATAATGGTACAATTAAATGGGGATTATTGAATGTTGAAAATATTTGAGTAGACTGGTTGCAATTTAGTATGTTATTGGTGACACCCAAGTGGCGGTCCTCGTTCGTGGCATTTCTTGATTTGAAGTGTAAAAATAACATTTAGATAAGGGTTGTGAATATGTCCATATAACCACAGAACAGACATAATTATGACCAACATTATGTTACACTTGACCAGGCCTGTTAGGAGCCCAGAAAGGGCTCAAGCAATGTAAGCAGTGATTGACAGTGAAATAAGATTATTAACAGTCAGTATCAAGTTTGAGCCTGACATATATTTAGACAGTCAGTAGCAACAACTAGCCATATAATTATTAAACAATGTTAGGCCCAATGAGTGCCTGAATACCCAGATGGCAGACATATAGAATACATATAGGTACTGAGGCAGGAAGAGTCCGGGTGAACATAAGTAACAAATACTGATCTTTTCAAAGCTGACAAGTATAACCAAGGCCATATGGGCCGACAATAATAATCTGCAAATATGAAAAACTAGATATGTGGCATAGCATTAATTAAATATTAAAATGCAAGGTGACTAAATGAATTGCATATGATAAAATCGATATGGCCAAATGAGGGCCAAATAGAGTAAGCAGAATGCATGAACCTTCCTGATGTATCACTATGATGCTATGTAAGATTAAAAAAAAAAAAAGCCAAATTTGCGTTAGTAGTGAAAATCGCCATATCCGAATGAAGGCAGAATACGGACTGAACTGCAAATGCCTCCTTAGTTGGTGAAAGGTTTAACATGGAGCAAATCCCTGTTGAATGTCAGGGACCGTGTGGTCGAATGTGGGCTGAATGAACAAACTTACGGTTTTGTTGTAATAAACGCTTAAACTAAATTCTATTTGTAGTACATAAGGAAATTCTATGTCCCGTTTTTTGAGAACAAATTTGTAGTATGTAGATATCTTTTCTTTACCAAGAACCAACAACTTTTAACCCCAACAAAAAACGGTCCTAAAGGACTAGTTTGAGCACTAGAAGCAGAGCTGCAGACCATGTTTCTTGCGAG